TGCAATCAGTGATATCTTCCTGTCCTGTTGTGTGGTTGCAGAAATGTTGAAATATCATTTGCACTGTTTGCTCCTTTTAAATCACAGTAGCTAACTGACCTGCTATCAGCTCTTGTTCCTTACCACATAATTTAGAAGCCCAGATGTTAGTATATTACCAGCTGTTCTTTTAATATTTTGCTAACTCTATTTCAATATAATTGAATTGCCTTTATCCTATTATTTATGCTGTTAAAAAATATTGTTCTAAGAAGGAGTCTAAAGTGCCAAAGTAGAAAGGGGTCCAAGGCATAAAAACGGTGAGGATCCCCTAAAGCAGGTTGGGAAGAGTGGGAGGGGGATGGAGTCTGCTTGTCTGCTGTGTTCCCCTGGCCTGGGCTCATCCTTACGAGCTTAGGGAGAGAGAATGGGAAACAGGCTGCTCTCTTTAAGCTTCTCCTTAAGTCGCAGTTACTAAGGGGACTAAATAACATCACACTCTGGGTATATTTATCAAACAATACCAAGTACCATGGCCTTGGTTTTTAAGATAGCTATACTGTACCTGCCACCCACAGAGCAAACATGTGGTCTGGCAGTCCATCGTTGAGCAAGCTCTGTTATCTGGAAACGTAACAGCTTCAATGATGGGGTTGTGTAAGTGGGCCTCAGCTCTGTGTTTAACTGGGAGAGTGACTCAGGCTGATGCTAGGGTAATAAGTGCTTGTTGGTTCCCCAGGGTAGAGATTAGTGAGGGGGCGAAAGCAAGATCACTTCCCAGTAACCATGATTCTGAAATGTGCTTTAAGGTTATCAGAGAGTAAGGCTGCAGTGGTGCTGGGAGCTATTCTCCCATCATAGAAGACCAGAATTAAAAGAATCCTGAGTTTACAACCTAAGGGTCAGTCACTGTAGGTCTAGAAGTATTGTTCCAGTTGACCTCTGTTGTATTTCTTCCAAATAGTTGAAGTCTGTAAGTCAGGAATGTGAGGACTCCAGGAGAGAGCCTCTGGGAAGGCTGTTAAGGTGAGGGTGAGGTCTTCTCAGAATGCAGTGGGTGGACGGTAGCCAGCACTGGACAGTGGATGATGTCTTGATGATTGATGCAGGTCCTGTGCCATTGTCTCTGTAAAAGCCTTTACATCTGGAACATTTGTGCTTTTGTGTTCTAAGAAAACAACTCAATCTCTTGCCTAATGAAAAGTAGATAGAATTTGGATTCTGAAATTCAGTTTGCAAAAGCAAACAAGTTTTTCTGCTTTCTACTTTACGCTTTTTACAGGATGATACCTCTTTAACTGTGTTACAACTGGATGAAGACTATCTTCTCAGATTTTCTTACTGTGTATTTTGTCATACTATACCTTCTTTATGCCCTACAAATTTCTTTTGGCATCCCCCAAAGCAGGTGAGAGTGCATGTATACACCTGCCTGCACATCCATTTTTATACACACACCATCAGAAAAATTAATTTCTGTCCCTTCTCAGAATTATAGAATTGATTCTTATAGTTCATAAGTATATAAGTCATTTTGAGGGGGGAAAGAAGAAAGACATGACAAATGAGCACTACTAATAAAGCAAGGCTTCTTGGAAACATACTCAGCAATGCTTTTGTGCTTCTAGAATGCACAAAAAGATCTGCTCTGGGGGTGTCCAGGTTCAGCCCCTGAGGAGCCTCAGCTGCTGTCTCCCATGACTCACATTTTGATCTCCTCTCCCCTCCCCAGTTCCCTGGCCATGAGCGCTTGCCTCGTTATTTTTATTTGACCTGAAGCCAGTTTCCAAAAGAGAGGAAAAGGCCTGGCATAGTTTCTCTCCCTCCAAGCTGGCCTGCACAAATGATTGATAATTCCCAGGGAATATTCTCTGAAGACTAAGCCCACTTAGCCTGATATTCACTGGCTTTCTCATACTTATTCTTGTTTGCCAACTAGACAGCACTGCATTATTTAGCCATGAAAGCATGTCACTAAAGGTGGCCTCGTATGACTGCCTCGAAGGCCTATTAGGAAACTCATTTTGCTTTTTGAGGATGTCATTGTGATACAACGTGGTTCAGGGTTTCATTGCTGGCCAAAGCCTTTTGTTGGGCTCGGCCAGCCTTGTGTCCTCAGAGTCACAGTCTCCTTTCCTCTGCTATTCCCAGGCAGAAATACTGTTCCTCTGAGCACATCATGATATCTGCAGTCAAAAACGTAGTTAAGGCAGGAAAATTGCAGTTGAAAAGAAAAACTTCACCAAATGTGTCCCCAGAGGCAAATGACAGACCCACTCTTTTCAGTGTCCTGACATAGGGCTGTCCTGTAGTGGCTCAGACAAGGAGGACCTGCCAGGTGGATACTGTACAGGCCAATAAAGAGGACATTTTCTGTGATTATGGCACACACCCTTTCTTTCCATCTAGGCAAATTATTGTGTTTTCATCTATTTAGCACCCACCAGTTGCTAGACCTTGACGTCCATGTTCTTGAGCCTGTGAGCTGGCCCCTTCCCTGTTTCCTGGGAGTTTGCAGTCTCAGCAAGAAATAGTTGACCCTGAATGACTCCCTTTACCCCTCTGTGCCTCAGAGTTTTCAACCCCAAAGAGAAGATAACAATGGCCCATTTTTCCTGTTGTGAGGATTTGATGAAATCATGCCTAGTACTCCTCCAGGGAAGGAGACAGCTGCTCATTACTCAAGTATTTATGCGCTGGAATCTGGAATTGTCCTAGGTGCTTGCTGTACCAAGAGGAGCAAACCCAGGGCCCGTCTCTGCCCTCATGGAGCTTTTGGTCCAGGAAAAGATTTAGGCATTAATTAGATAGTCACATGGGTTTATATCTCCAAATTGGACCAAAGACTAGGAAGAAAAGTAGGAAGAAAAATTGCAAAAATTGGCCCCTGACCTATTCAGAAGATGTTTTACAAAAACATTTTAATGGAGATCAGAAGAGGAGTAAGAGTGAATTAGGAGAAAGCGGTGTCAGGTCTCCACCAGCCTGATGGTGCATTCCAGCAAATAAGTGTCTGTATTTTAGGGCAAGGCTGAGGGAGCAGGGGAAGGGCTGGGGTGTAAAGCACTCAGCCCCTCTGCTGAGTGCCCTGGGGCAGAGAGCAATCTGTGTAACTGCGCAGGTGACACTTGCTTCCAGCACAAGGTTTGGGTTCAAAGGCAAGGAAAGCACCTTTGCAAAGGCCTTGAAATGAAAAGGCCCAGCCTGGCTGCAGCACAAAGGTGCAAGCTGGTGGAGGGGTGTCCAGAAAGCACTCAGTAACATCAGCTATGTTAATGAACTGTGGCATTATTCTCCTAAACTCACGGCCAGAATATCAGGGTCTCAGAAACACCAAGGTCTCGCTAGAAGCTGCTGCTGCATTTTAATAGTGAGGGGAAATCACTTCAGGAATTGATGTGTTGGGATCACATCACTGAGACTTAGAGAAAATGGACAATGAAACAATGACGAGGAGAGACGTTAGGCGGTTCCCACAGCAGGACTACAGCTGAAGAAGATTGCTCTGTCTGAGCCCAGAAAACAGATTGTTAATAAGGCAAGAGAGGCAAACCCAGAAACAGCACCCCCAAGAAAATCCACCACATTATGTGAATAAAAATGGAAACTGAACATTAAGGCAGGGTTCTAACAATGCTATCATTTTGAGGGTGTAATTATCTCTGCAGAGTAATGGAAGATTCCCCTTCACTCGCCTCTTAGAAAGGACCTGTCCGGCCAGAAAACCAGAGCTGGCATCAACACTAAGAGACTGTCTTGATAACCCTGTGTGCTTCCTGGCTTTGATTTCTTTGATTCTGGAATAATTCAAAAGCATATTCATTCATTCACACATATAGCGTATTGAGGTTCTTTCATTTCTTTCTTTCTTTTTTTTTTTTTAAGTCAAAGGAGGAAAGTAAAACCCCCAGATCCTGGAGAGTCATGTGCTGCTGCCAGTCGCCTTGGCAGTCTGCTTCAGGCTGTGTATCCACAAGGGTTTTCCTGGTTGCCTTGAGGGCGTCCGCATGCTATTGTGAGGGAAGCCTGGACCTGATCCTGCCAAGGTCCCCTACAGGCTGTGTGACTGTGGGCAGGTTAGTCAGCCTCTCTGCACACAGAGAGTTACTGCCAGCTGTAGCTGTCATTAGGGAGAACTCTGGGCCCAGGGGCACTTGGGAATCTCACACTTTCAGAGTCAATTTTGGGGTTCCTGTTCTGGGAGCAGCCTCCGCATGATCCACATCCTCTCAAAGGGATTCCCTCCTTTGTAGTCTGAGAAGTCTTTTGCCCTGCTTTTTGGAGGTAGCTGTGGTTTGCTCTGGGTGCACATAAAGGATCAGGATTAATACAGACTTATAAGACCTTGCCAGTTGTTCATGGCTCCATTAAACTTCTAGAGAGAAGAAAAAGCATGTAATCATAATTTTAATGTAGCTATAATTTTTTATAACCTCCTCATCATCTAAAAGTCCCATAAGAACACTGTCAACTGACCCAGCACCGAGATGTTTTGTTGCTTAATAAGATGTAAGAGCAGAACTTAAAAATAGGCTTGAACTTAAACTACATTAACCTAAAATGCTCACTAATTGGACATAAATTTTAGTATTTCACTTTTTGGGAAAAGATAAACTGATAAATTTCCTTGTAGTGGAAAGTGGGAGGAAGAGCCCTTTATGACCTCGGTGCTAATGTAGACCATAACAGCTGAGTTTCCTCTGAGTCAGGCACTTCGTCCACATAGTTGTGTGTGGCTCACATATATGTTGTACCTGCAGGACTGATGAGCAATCTGAATCCTTCAACAGAAGAGAAGACGAATGGTGATTTGATATTATGTTGGATTTTAAAAAGAATCCTAAATGTTAGTATAAAATGCTAACTCCAAAATGCACTTTTCTTTCAAAATTGACATTGTTGCTCTCTAAAAATGGGGCTGGATGAGGCTCCTGATTAGAGAGACTGTTATTTTATCAGAGGAATTGCGGGGGTTGAATCATGGGATCACATTAACTTATGATCATTTTGTCGCTTTTCAGCCCCCGGCCAGCAATCCCGCTCTCCCTCCTACTGACAGAAGAGGAAGCAGCAGTTATCATCCAGTCCTTCTGGAGAGGCTATCTGGTAAGAGTCATGTGTAAGTGTGGCCTTTGGCTTGATGGGGAGTTGCTGTGACATGGAAGGCCCATGGGAAAACCGTCCAGTGAATTTGACAGGATACAGTAGCTCACATCCAGACCTCAGATACGGGATTGTCTGTAACCTAGTTCTTACAGAGTGGTTTAGAATTTCCACCAGAACTTATCTTGAATTATCAATGCCATTAAATGCAACTTCCAACCATTTTTCCATTAGTGGGACCGTCCCAGAAGCTCAGTATGTAATTGATGTGCAAAAGAATGAGGGGAACTGTTCTGTCTTAAGTGTAAAGGTCCTCCTGTCCCCATCCTTCCACATGCAAGGGGCTTCGGAGCCCATTCCCAGTGCTTCCCACAGGCTCAGTATGAAAAGCAATCTGTAAACAGATGAATTCAGCTCATCATACCAACAAACACTGTGGTATAAAAAGATGTCATAATAGCTCGAAAAGCAACTATGGCTATATACCATCATCACTGGTTTGTGTCTAGATTCCCCCCAAAGCCTCGTGTGCTCATAGGTAGAACTGTGGGGAGGTGGCTGGATCATGGGTGTATAATACTGGGATTAAGCGTGTGTGATAACTAAATTGTTTTATCATAGCTCTGGGTGTGGATAATGGAAACTCCACCCTGGCTGTGGGTGACACCAATCAATAGGCTTGTAGCATGAAATATTCAGGGGCAGAAAGAAAGCGGGCTGGCTACTTGCAGCTTGCTGCATTCTGGCTGCCCTGCCACTCCATGAGCCATTTCTCTGCTGTGATGCCCCTCTGCCATGCCGCCTTGCCTTAGAATCAGCTGACTATAGACTGAAACCTCTAAAAGCTGTGATCTAACATAAACCTTTCCTCTTTTAACTTCAAGTGTCGGGTATTTTGTCTCATCGACACAGAAAGTAACTAAGAGCCATACAACAGCTAGAAGTGTTCCTCAGAGCACAGATGTGGTCAATGTTTACTGTATGAAAGTTTCAGGTGTTCAAATCCAAACCTCTCCAGTGCTAAAATTATAACTGAGGGGGACCAAGAGAAGAAGAAAGGTCCTAAGGTCACTAGAAGGAAAAGATGGCTGATAGGATGACCCTAAATGGTACTATAGAAAAACAGGAGGGGATCTCAGTCTTGAAGGAAATGTGGGCACTGGGTTGCCAGAGGCATCCCAGGGGGTGGAAATAGCTTGTGTATATTTTATTGTTTTTATTAAGTCATATTGTATATTTCAGCACGTGTATCTACACATATCCAGAAGGACTTTTTTTTTAAGAGTAGGAAAAAATTGAGGGAAAGAAAGCTTCTGTCTAAGAGGGACAGAAGGGGGACTGGAAAGTGGATTGCCCACCCACCCCACTTTTCAAAGATGTTTTATACAGCCAAGCCATGTGGTGAGGTGGATCCAAAGTGGGACTATAAGACCCAATGGAAAATTACAAGGTGGGCATGAGGTAGGGCAAAACCATGACCAACCAATAAGATTACAAGTACAGTCACCCAAGTAATATTGATTAAATGGGGATCCAATGGGGGAGTCATGTAGCCAGCGTACAAGGATTTTCAGTAAGGGTGGGGGTCGGGGATATTTCCTAGAAGGCTGGGTTAAGACCGTGGCCCCCCAGCCAGGTGATAGATACCTATTTAGAATATCAATCACTGCTATTTATCCCCAGGGGAAGTGCAAGGGTATAGTAGTTTCTCTCCTCTTACACTTCTGACCTTCAGTGAGTTTGCCTTTATTGTCCTTTATTGTCCTCCATGTTGGCTACAGGAAAATATTTGAAAGGAAACAACATGACAATATTGGTACTTTGGGATAGCTGAAAAGAGCTAGGGATATTTTAGCCCCGAACATATTTTTTAAGAGGCAAATATTGTATGATTTTATTTAATTACAAATTAACTTAAACCATGCAATTGTCTCAGTGGTACAGATAAAAGTATTTGACACAATTCAGTATGTTCTTCATGATAAAAACATTCCTCAGACTGGAAATGGGTGGGGACTTCCTGTGCTTGATCAAGGGTCATCTATGAAAATCACAGCTAATATCCTATTTGATGGTGAAAGACAAGGTGGTTTCCCCAGAATATTAAGAGCAAGAGGAAGATGTCCTCTCTCACCTCTTTACCTTAAAATGGTAGTGGAGGTTCTAGTCAGGGAAATTGTTAAGAAATAGGAAATGAAAGATACTTGGATTGGAAAGGAAGAAGTAAAACTCTCTCTAGATGACATTAAGTCATGCCTGGAATCCCAAGGATTTCACTTTTTTAAAAAGCCTATTAAAACTTTTTCCCCCCTGGGAATCGAACTCAGGACCTTTCGCTTAGCAGGCAGGTGCGGTGCCACTGAGCTAAACCCCCAGGCCTGCCTATTAGAACTTATGAGTGAGTTCAGCAAGGTTTCAGGATACAAAATCAACATACAAAACAATCAATTGAATTTCTATATACTTAGCAGTGAACAATCTGAATATGAAATTAAAAGATAATTCCATTGGCAACAGCCAAAAAGAATAAAGTGCTTTGGAATAAATTTAACAAAAGTGTAAATTGTACACTGAAAACTGCAAAACATCATGGAAAGAAATTAAAGAAGACTTTATTGAATGGAAAGGCATTCCACGTTCACTAAAGATGCCACTTCTCCCCAAAATGATCTATAGATTAGACACAGATCCTGTCAAAATCCCAGGTGGACTTTTAAAACAAATTCACAAGCTGATCCAAAAATTCAGAAGAAAATGCAAAATAGTCAAAATGATCATTAAAAAGCACAATAAAATTGGAGGACTCATCATTCCCCCCCCCCGCCTTTTTTTTTTGGTACTGGGGATCAAACTCGGGACCTTGTGCTTTCGAGGAAGGTGGTGGCACCACTGAGCTAAATCCCTGGCCCTATATTTCCCTATTTCAAAACTTAAGTACAAAGCTATATTCACCAACACAGTGTGGTACTAGTATAAGGAGAAACATAAAAATCAATGGAATAGAACTGAGAGACCAGAAATAAACTTTTTTTTTTTTTTTTTTTTTTTTTTTTTTTTTTTTTTTTTGGTTTTTTGAGGCAGGGTCTCACTATGTAGTTGAAACTGACCTGGAACTCACTATGTAGCCCAGGCTGGTGTCGAACACACAGCAATCTTCCTGCCTCAGCCTCCTGAGTGCTGGGATTACAGGCATGGGCCACCAAGCCCAGCCAGAAATAAAATCTTATATCTGTAGGCAATTGATTTTTCAACAAAGGTGCCAAACTGTTTAATGAGGAAAGACTATTGTTTTCAACAAATGGTTCCAGGACAACTAGATATCTACAATGCAAAAAATTGAAGTTAGACCCCTACTTCATACCATCTAGAAAAATTAACTCAAAATTAAAAACCTAAATGAAAGTGCTAAAACTAAAAATCTTAAGACATGGATGTATACTTTCCATGACTTTGGATTAAGCAAGTTTCTGTAGCAAAGAGAACAAATGACAAAAGAAAAAGAATAAATGAGACATTATCAAAATTAAAACCCCTTGTGCTTCAAAAAATATCACGTGAGTAAAAGACAACTCACAACATGAAAAGATATTTGCAAATCACATTCAAATAAAAGTCTAAAATCTCAGCCAGGTGTGGTGGCACATGCCCATTATCCAGTCACTCTAGGAGGCTGAGGCAGAAGGATCACGAGTTTGAGACCAGCGTGGGTAACCTAACAAGACCCTGTCTCAAAATGGCAAATACAAAGGACTGGAAACGTGTCAGCACCCCCACGGTTCCATCTGCAGTGCTGTGTGGTATAACCGTCTCCACCGTCCATCTCCAAGACTTTTCATCTTTCTGCTCCTCCCCATTCAACCCTAACCCTCCCTATCCCCGTCTCCCTCAGTCCCAGTCCCTGGAAACCTCCACCCATCTCTGTGTCTCCATGAACTTGACCTCACGTAAGTGGAATCCTGCTGTATCTGTCCTTTGGTAACTGGCTTACATCACTCTGCCTTATGTCCTCAGGCTTTATCCATGTGTAGCAGGTGCCAGGGCTTACTTTTAAAGACTGATTACTCTTCTTGCCGTGAAACTTTAAAAACCCAGAAGTCTGGCATCTTCACTCGTCTGTCACAAAACTAACCAGGCAGCCCATTAAAAATTGTATTTTAACCAACCGCATTAACAGAAGAGTCACATGAGGCGAAGCGCTATTCCCAGTAAAGCATCCTTGGGAGCTATGCTTTATAATTAGCCCTGTAAACAGGTCCCTGGTATTTCTTACAAGACACTGAGCACTTCTGCGGGAGTGGCCGCGCATTCTGGTCTTCCTTCTCTCAGGCTAGTAGTGGTTGGAAAGCCAGACTGCTTCAAGATGCAAAACTGCATGGTTTTTCTAAAATCCATTTGAATCCTGTGGGCGAAATGTGGCCATCTGAAAACGCTCCTTCCCGAAGTGAGGGAAGGCTTCCCCAGGAGCAAACTTTTCTACGACATGTCTGTTTTTTTGTGCACAGTGAAGAGTTGCATGCTCCAGTATATGAGATTCCAGAGGCCACTGGTAGACACTGATCAAGAGAACCCTGCTCTTGTGAATTTCAAATGAGGTTCTTAATGGGTGATGATAATTGAAATTTCCTGAACAGTTGAAGAGGCTGAGACTAGATAAGTCCATGGGATATTTACTCTATCTAAACAAGCACCTGGAGTTTTATTCCTTCTCCTCATGTGTTTCATTTTTTTCTAACTCAGCCCAGACACCTGGTGGAGAGTATTAGCAATCCACGCTTTCTCTCAGCTGTCAACTCTCCCACCAAGCATGGTGACAACCAAGAGTCACAAAAGCCATAAGTCACCCGCTATTTGATGAACAATACTGTGGGAGGTTATTGCAGCAGCTCCTCTGTGGCCTTGCAAAATTACAAAATTTAAATAAAACAATGGAATACAATTATGGAATTTTGATCTCCACTTGTAGGAAACAGTGAGAATTTTACTTGTTTATATCTTTGTCTACT